AATATTCCCTGGAGTTTAAGAAGATGATCTCATTGAAACATTGATATTTTTCAAACATTTCATAAGGTTAAGGCCTGTTTCCACAACTCATGAGCCCAGAGCTTAGCGCCATAGCCTTAGGATAGAGGGGGGCTGTTTAGGGCTGTGATGAGACGTTTTTCAATCGGGAGTTGTAAATCTTTGTAACACTCCACACAGTGATTACTGACGTCTTTTGAGTATGTTCAAGACTAAGATCGATACATTAGACACTTAGGCAATCAAAGGAAAAGGGGATAGGCAGGAAAGTAGAGTTAATGTGGACCTTAAGTTTACTGAATGGTGGAGCAGGCTCAGGTCGCGTAAGATCTCATTGTATTCCTAGGGCTTATTTTCACTCTTTAGCAAAGAAACAAATATTATTTCAAGTGGCATTTTTACCAATGCCTCCAGCAGACACCCAAGAAATTGTCTGTAACAAGTTTTTGAAATCCTAAACTGAACCCAAATATTCCATTCACCATTTCCCAAGAAGGCGTATTACTGAGAAAATCCAGATCCTTCTCAAACCTCCATCAGCATATGTCATAGGACAGTCTTCACTTGAACCCGTACCACCATTCAAAGAACTCGGAGTTGATTTATATCTAGTCCATTTACCAACTTACGAAAATCTATTCACATCTTGAACATTAAAATTTGTTCAGCATTCAAAAATGTTTGTTTTATCTCTATCTTTTGGCTGAGTAAATTCTCACAGTGGAGAAAAACATGTCTACCCCATTAAATATCTTCACTATTTCAACACTACAACTGTCTAAAACTCAACGAAATATAATCCACATTTATGGAAGCATAACTTAACTCTTTAAGCACGACCATTCTGGTGAATCTGTTTTGTAACCTTTTCTGAGATTTGATGCACAAAATTAAAAGCTAATCTCCAAATGGAGTCTTCCCCATTGTTGAATTTGAGTTGCTATTAGCCTTTTCCATGGCCAGTACATGCACGCTGATCTCTGGAGTACTTGGACACCTAAATACTTTGCTCATCTGAAGATTCTAATCCTCCAACCGCACGGTTCACCAGATCAGAAGGCAATAGACATTCTAAGCATTATTATTGGGGTTTATTCCAAATATGGATTTTCAAAGCTAAACAGTTTTACACAAAAGATATGCATTGCATTATAAAGAAGGCTTTAGTATTCAAGTGTTTTTGACTACATATTTCACAATCAAGAGTAGCATAAGGTCCAATATTTCTCTCGTCTAAATTGAATTAAAGGGATATAATGATAGGTTAAGTGAATGTCAAAGAACTGGCAAATGGAGTAAAAGGTGGGAAAATGTGCAATTGTCCATTTTGACCTGAAGAATAAAAGATCAGAATATTTTCTAAATAGTGAGAGACTGCAGAGCGCTGAAATGCAGAGATATCTGACATCCTTGTGCATGAATTGCAAAATATAAATATTCAGATATAGCAAGTAATTAGGAAAACTAATGAAATGTTGCATTTTATTGTGAGGGGAACTGAATACAAAATTATGCTTTAGTTATACAAGGCACTGGTAAACGCACATCTGGAGTATTGTGCACAGCATTGTTTGCTTTTTTTGAAGGAAGCACGTAAGTGCATTGGAACCAGTTCACAAAGGTTTAATCAACAAATCAACAAAGGTCTCACACCTAACATGCATTGTCTGACCTAAAACATCACCCCTTCTTTACACTGATAAAACCTTTAGTTCTCTCAGGACCGTGACTTGAAACGAATGTGGGAATTTACATATACATATTAATCAATTAAAACCTTCTAACTGATTGAAGATTTAACGGCATCCTAGGTTTGTTTAGAACATCCTCATCAATGGTGTGAACCTTTGATCTTTTACACATAAATTCTGTGTCAGATACTACCTCTCTCACTTACACCTAAAAGGAGGATGAAGGCTCCAAAAGCTTGTGTTTTCAAATAAAACCTGTTGGACTATAACCTGGTGTCATGTGATTTCTGTCCTTGTCCATCCCTGTCCAACACCAGCACTTCCACATCATAACAAATACCTAGAAAGGGCAGGCTACACCTGAAACGGCAGCTCTGCTTTCTCTCCACAGATGTTGCCAAACCTACTGAGTTTTTCCAGTAATTTCTGTTTTGTTCCTGGAAAGGCCAGTTGTCTTATGAGAAATGGCTGGGACGGCTAGGCTTGTTTAGAAAAGTAAGATGCAACTTGATTGAAACATACAAGATCCCAAGGGGTCTTGACAGGGTAGATAAGAGGAGGATGTTTCCTCTCGTAGTGGAATCTAGAATTAGGAGTCACAGTTTAAATATAAGGGTTTCTCAATTAAGACAGAGATAAGAAGAATCTTTCCGAGGTTTATGAGTCTTTGGAACTCTTCCTCAAAAGGCAGTGAGGGCAGACGGTGTCTTCAAATGCTTTTAAGGCAGAGATAGATAGATTTTAACTTATTGGTAAACAAGAGGGTTAAATTTATCAGGGTGAGCAGGAACATGGATTTGAGGTTACAATCAGATCAGCTAAATGGCGGTACATGCTCGATAGGCTAAATGGCCTACTCCTGCTCCTTGTTCATCTGTTCATACATGTTCAGAGTATAATGCATGCCGGCAGGTAATTTGTCAAGTGTCTCTAAACAATGAAGACAGTGATGCAGAGGCAATATGAAAACTGAAGGAGGTGCATCCTCCAGTCAAAGGCTTCCATACTCAAGGGCTTAGGCAAAGACAGCAAAACATTCATATAGTACCATTTTAAAGCTCGAATTGAAAGGAGGATTCTGTTTATGGGCAGAGTAAGATATTCCAGCTGGAGGTCCTCTTCTCCGTCTGTTCTTTTTCCCCTTCCCCTCTTTTTCTCCTCCTTCTTGCATTTTTTGTTCAACTAATGACTTTGACTTACCCAGAGGCGCTGGTGAGCACTGAGGCGAATCCCAGAATGGTGGGAAAGCAGTCCCGGAGCGGATGCCAGCGAAGGGACGCAGTCCTGGAGCGGATGCCAGCGAGGGGACGCAATCCCGGAGCGGACGCAGTCCTGAAGCGGATGCCAGCGAGGGGACGCAGTCCTGGAGCGGATGCTAGCAAGGGGAAGCAGTCCCAAAGTGGATGCCAGTGAGGGGAAGCAGTCCCGGAGCAGATGCCAATGAGGGGAAGCAGTCCCAAAATGGATGCCTGCAAGGGGAAGCAGTCCCAGTGCAGAAGCCAGCGAGAGGAAGCAGTCCTGTGCGGATGCTAGGGAAGGGAAGTAGTCCTGTGCGGATGCCAGGGAAGGGAATTAGTCCTCTGCGGATGCCAGCGAGGGGAAGTAGTCTCAAAGTGGATGCTAGTGAGGGGAAGCAGTCCTGGAGCGGAGGCCAGCACAGCGAAGCAGTCCTGCAAAAAACTGACCTTGGAGTAGCTGAGAGCTGGTGCGGAGTGAAGTGGAGGCTTGGAGCACATTCGGACAATTGTGGACTGGGGTCTGGCGTGGGTGGTCAGACCACGTTTGGAAGTCCCTGTACTCAGCTACTGCAATGTAATGTTTATGTGTAATTTGTTTATATGACTGGAGTGACTATCCTTTTAACTGTGTCTTATTTCTGTAAAAAAATGTATCCAGTTTTCTTTTTTATTCCTCTTTTGTATCTAAGATTTGTACCTAAGATTGTAAAACTTTTCACTGTACTGCTGTACATCTGTACTTGAGTACATGTGCCAATAAAGGATATTCTATTCTATTCTATTCTCTGCTTCTAGGGAAATCCAATACAGTAAATCTACACCAATTGCATTCCCAGTGGAACAGATATACTTTATATTTGATTTACTCACCTCTTGACTAGGGAAAGAGCAAATTTCCTTCCAACAGAGCCATTTTCATTAAGAGCTGGGAGAATCAGAGGGGATACTCATGGAAAAGTTCACAACTAATAGCTAGTTATTATTTTGAGGCAACGCTCAGTGTGTCTCATTACAATTCAACTACAAGGGCAGGCTATGTAGCTCTGTGCCAATTAGGTGGCACCTGAAGGCCTACTGTATGACACAATTGGCACAAAATATCAAAGTAACAAAGGCGTAAAGCAGAGGGCTGACACCTTTCTCAGATAGAATTTCATGGGATCCAGGAGGAGTGACACAAGGTGACATAGAATAGGGGATGTATAGTTCTCAACAGTAAATCATTAGTACCATGTGCAGGAACATTCTTGGTTGGAGGAATTTTGTCACATTGAGATTTTAACTTGTGTGGCCGAGAATATTTTTAATTATGACATTGCTATGAATTTAAATTTGGTTCACATTAAGTAACAACCCCAACAATTTATTTGGGATTTTAATTTAGTCCATTGCTGGTGTACCTGATTAAATAGTTAGCAAAACTGCACATATTCACAATATCCTTGTGAAATACAGCAGCTGCAGGGGGTTTTGCATTTGGTACAGTTGTTATCATCTAGAATTCAACGCTGGATAGAATGGTTGAAGCAAGTTCAATTGTGGCTTCCAAAAATGAATTGCATATATACAGTATATATAAGTATCAGAACAGGAAAGATCTACAAGTTTAAGGGGAAACTGCAAGGAAGAGGGACTATACCAGAGAAATCCAAAGAGAATAGACAGTGGCATAAAATGGCTGTTAGTGGACCGGCCAGCCCCTGACCAAATGACCCCAATGACTGCGAGGGAACTGCAGTCAGGCACGATATATATTATCCAGATAGTCAGAGGTACAAGGTCAAATAAGATGTTTAGAGAGTAGGCATCAAAAAAAAATGAAGAAAGTGCAAGTAATTAACATTTTTAAAAGTATAAGTTCCATGGCTAACAAAAAGTCAGTACACACCCAACGGGTGCCCTGGTTTCTACATGTTTGCAGTTTGAATTAAAACCCAAATGTACTGGGACTGAAGTCTGCTATCAGCTTGCAGAAAACCAACCCTATTTCTGTCTGTCTTAGAAGAAATCCACTTTAATTTGATTTGAAATCATCAGTATTTGACTTATTACTGCTTTTATTAAATGTATAGATTACACAGGTAGTTTTAATTAGACAGGAAATACAGTCTGAATATTCAGCAAAGACAATACACTGCTTTTCCTTGAACAGAACCTAAACAAGGAATAATTCAACTGCCAAAAGTGTCACAGAATTTAAAGGAGGAGCAAGATTCTTGAGAACTGGGTCTATCACTGTTGATGTTTTAGTCAAATCACACTGTCACTTCTGGATAGGAGTCCAATAATAAATTTAATAAACCAGAAATACAGAATAAAACTTACTCCTCTAAATTTTGAGCAGTAGCTGTATCGGATTCCCTTTACCAGCAGACTATTATCTCACTATTCATATCAACTGTTGCATAAATTTAAACTATCCCAATAAAGATATTATATGATGGCCTCAATATAATTAACTTTGAACCACATTAGATGGTTATATCCTTCAGTTTAAATGTTGCAAGGAATTTTCTGAATAACTTTGAGTGTCTCATTATTATTTTTTCTCAATATCCGGCACTCAAATATCTCAAATCTTGAATTACTGTTAAACTAATTACATACCTTAGTGTAATCATCAGGTGATCATATTGTGTATACCTGGAGCTAAATCTTTTACAGGACCTTTTTCTTTATTTAGGGAGAAGTAAACTAGCAACTCAGGAGCTGCTCATCCTAGACATTAAAAACATTGATGCACTTGATTCTCAGACTGTACTGACTCAGTTCATCTTAGACAGGTGTTACAGATCAGACCAAACCAAACGCCCTTCAAATGTATAAACGAGGTAGCCCAGACCCTAATGTTTTCTTATTGAAAGGCAAGTATAACGTGCTGTGTACCAGATGTAATTTGATTGCTTACACTACTCGGCGTTAGGCAAAACACACTTTATTCTTATTCTACAGTCAAAATATAAACAAAAGAAAGAAGGATTGGCCTAACTTTAATTCTATTGGAAAACTAAACAGAATAATAGATTATTTAACTAATAACCAGCAACTGTTCCAATACTGTAACATCCCATAAACACACCCTTGGCAAAGGCAAATTCAGTGAAATAGATTGTCTCACATGCTATCTTCTCTAGTCCAGGAGGAAAGAACATCAAGAGAAAATTCTGGCAGAGAGGGAGAACTCAAGTGTTTTGCTGTAGCTGAGAGGGATGTATAGCAGCTTCAAAACCCCAACAATTACTGAAAGCAAAACTAAAACCCTGATTCTGTAGGAGCCTAACTCCACCTATTCATGCTGCTTCTATTGTTCCAACTTTAAAAAAAAACCATGGCCTCACAAGCTGTTCACTTTACTGGCTTGGAACAAGTTGCTCATTACCTCTGTCTCAACTTCTCTTCACAAAAGAAAAACACAAAGGACAAAAGGCACTTCTTACAGCCGAAATATTGTCCAACAGGGCAGAGGCAGGGATCCTGCCGTTCTCTAGGGGTGAGCAGGGTGGAAGAGATGGAGAGCAGTGGGAAAGGGAACTGGTGAGGCAAGTACTTTTTAAGCAGCAACTATTTTCAATCTGGAAAGATGATAGAAATCGATGTTCAAAAAGAGAATTGGGTATATACTTGTATCAGAACATTTCCAGGCCTATGGGGAAATGGCAAATTCTGAATATTCTAATATAAATGGCATTGCTGTGTTAGGCCAAATGTCTTCTTTCTATGCAACAAAGTACTAATGATTGTACAATCTGTAGCAACAAACATAGATTTGCTGGATAGACTGGAAGACAACCTTTTTTAATGCCTAGCCCAATATAAGAACAACTCCAGACAGTCGCAGCTCTGAAAACCTACGAATTTATAATGTCACCTTAGTAGATATACTCAGGAGGACTATAAAGTTAATTCACCACAGTATTTGTCATATCAGAGCAGTGTTGTAAAGTCCAAAAATAACTCTCAGTTTTCCAATCAACCACGTTAGTATAGGCACACTAAAGTACTAATTGGAAAAGTGAAAGAATTCCTCGGGTCAAATTAAATGGCCATCGCAGAGACCCCATCCACTGGCTGAAAAGCTGAGCCCAATAGTCATTTCTGGAAGCTACAACACAGTTAATACCCTGGTGTCACGGTTTCTGCCATTTTAAGAGTGTAAATCTCAGCTTTAAGAACCAAAAGTCCTGTTAGATGGCTGCCAGCTCTTCAGTCTCAGTAGTTCCATTGGAAGCAATGGTTACAATTGGTACTGCAGCGAGCAAGGAGCAGCCACCATAACGGAGGTTCCTGAATAGCACCAAGTATGTTGGGATAAGGGGAGATCCTTCCTAGTAACAGCTCTTGTGGCCAGGGTGGCCCTCTATAGACCAAAGGGTGTTCACTCATGAAGGTCCACCCTCACCCCCAAGTCAACAATGAGGCTACGAATTTTACTCAGCAGTCTCCTCAAATGGTGCTGCTCCCAGTTGCCTCACACCACAAGCAGAACACCAGCAAGGGCAAAGTAAGGCACTTAAATGCCATCAGTTGAGTCACTTTCAAGCTTTAAATGATCCCCATGTAGCAAGGCTTCCTGACCTTCCTATCCCTAACTGAATTTGATAAAGTCAGGACGATAAAGAGCATTCCATCTCCCTCCAACGTTCCTTCCTGATTCTAAGCTCCCAGAAGAATTAAATCCCATCTCAATTGGGCTAACCCAAGAAAATGCCAAGGAAAGATGAAGCTGTGGAAATTGGGATGATCAATGCAGCTAATAGAAACATAATATTTGTAGAAGCCCAGGAACAAATTGTATGTAACAGTGAATTTACTCTACGACTAATGGTATGAAATCATTAGCTGTCATTCAGTTGGCACTGTGTTTAAATGGCTTGGCACCAAAGTTTGATCCTTGGTAGTGGAAGAGGCCACATTCAAAGGGTAGCACTGAATTCCCGACCACAGTACTTCATGTGGGAAGTGCCTACGTGCCGAGAAGGGACAGGGATTTAGAGACAACTGAATGAGGACTAGATGGAAAAGTACAAATGGCATTTTCTTAAGACTTTCATTTCAAACAAAAACTTGATTTTAACTGAAATATTATTACCGCTATTTATTTTTCAATTGAAACTAATAGAGCTAGGCATTGGTACATGGAAGCAATTCGCTCTGAAACTCCTAGCTTTTCAATCAACCCAAAATAAGTAAAAGTATCAAAATATATTTGCTAACTGGTAAGTGCCTTCCCAGGGAAATCAGACCTTAAATATATTTTACCAAAGGAACCATCAGACGACTCAAGTCTAATTTCACGTCATGTAATTGCTTCTCCCTACTGACTTTAAAACATCAAATATAGACAGTTGGTTTTACTTCCAGCCCAGTCTTGACAGTGGTAAGTCCATTAGGCAAAGCAGTGCAATGTTTAAGTCTACCAATGCAAACATCAGCAGAGTCAATTGAACACAGGGATTTACATTCTTTTGTAAGTATTCTTACCAAGGGGGAGTTCAGTGATTAGGAAAAATTGCTTCATCACTTGCAGGATACTTTTAATGAAAGTTAGCAAAGTGTTGCCCTTGTCAACTTCCAAGACAATTCAAGAGGGCTAGGAACTAAAGAAACAGGGGCTTACAAGAGATAAGAAAAGCAAATGGCGAGGGAACGGAACAGGTTTGCAAAATTGAAAGGCGACATCATTTCTTGTTAAAATACACCTGCAATGGCAATGAAATGGGTTCTGTTGAAGGAAACACAATATGAACAAATGCTACATCATGCTTAAAAATTGATAATGACCAAATAAAAATATAGAAATGATAAACGTAGCCCAGTAGTCAGTATACCACAATCTGCCTTCATCACCAGATTGCACAACACAATGTACGTCATTCACGTGGCTTCAAATGGCAACACCCAAGCGATATTTTTCACAGCAAGTCCTGTCTGAGGTGGTCATTTTCTCTTTGTGGTTCTTTCCATAACTGAAATTGATGATGCCAACTATGTCAATGGTGACCAAAAAGTGATGTGAAGCTACGATATTCTTTGATACATTCTAACCTTTTCCAATATCACTTATTCTTTATATACCATGACTGAGTTCATACACATCATACAAATATTCAAAATGCAAATCAAGATAGATAGCTAATTCCAAGCAGCCTTATTCCTATACTCCATCAGACTATTGCATTTACACTAGCCTTAGTTATATCTGTTATATGTACTTGTTACCTTCACCCCTCCAATTAATATCTGCCCACAAGGTTATTACATACATCATAAATTTCATGAGTAATCATTTATTTTTAACTTGATGCTAATAATCTCAGTCACCTTTGGATAAAAACAAAAATAATAGTTAAATCATTGTAAATCAAGAGCATGGAAACAATTAATTCATTACATTTGGTAGCCCAATAATAATTTGAGTGGTCTATGGCAAGCAATTTTGAGCAAACCTTTCACTAACTTTAAACATAGTAACAATGTCCACATGGTTACAAAAATAGACATGCATTTAAAAAATACACAAACCATGGTGAGGGTAGGGCTTCAGCGTGCTAATAAAAGACAACTGCTCTGGTCTCTATTTGTAGACATCAGAAAATATGGTCATGATAACAATGCAGAGTTCATTCTGATCTTAAGCATCAGGTTCCCGAAATATTTGAAATTCATAAAGCACAAATTTTAAAAGCTGAAGAATTTCTGGCTGTTGGAAATTTCTAGTCTTGATACCTTATTAAATTTCACAAATTAGTCACTTGATTTTAGTGACAGTAACTTAGATCATAGCAAAGATAACTGCCTATTCCAGGAGGCAGAAGGAACATTTGGAAAATATATAATATATGAGTGGGGTTATGACATGGCAATAGACCTTACCTGCTAACAAAGCCATCTTCAATAATAGCACTTCCCCTCTCTGCTCTGAATTTATTAAATCTACAGTGACTGAAATGAAGCTCAATCCTATCACAATGACATTCTTAAGATATACTAATATTTCCACAACATTTTATAAACCTTGCAATTTAGAATATACTGTAACAACCGATTTAAAAAAAAAACTAAATATATCTCTAATACTTGCCTAGGAATTTGTGCATTATACACTGCCAACAATTAATATATTTCAGGGCTAAGTAACAGAAATTCATCACTAATCCACATCGTGATATACAATGTGTACATGGGTTATGGCTGTTTCTGTAATCTATTTAAAGGCCCAGGCATTTTGTCCCATTCACAGCGGTAGTCTTACTGCATTCTAAAATCTGCATTCAGCAATAAATTCTTAATGGATTAATTTCAACGTCTAAATAGGTGCTGAGCTAATTTCTCCAAGATCAGAAAGTGAGTAGGTAGAACAGTCATTTCACTTTTTTCTTACCATCTTTGCCATTTGAGTTGTGCATTTGAACGTTGCCCAGACTGATATGATTACGTTGCCTGATCTTTATTTTTTTAAATAGCAGTTATAATAATTTTATGCAAATGTTATATGGTTGTACAATAATATCACACAGCATAATACCCAGGTTTACATGGAATTCTAAGAGATCATGATGTAAGAAATTTAGCTCTAATAACCATCCTGCACTAGTTGGTGGTTACAAGTTAAGTACCACCAATGTCTAGTCAATGTTTAAAATGGCTACAGACTGTTATGGTCACCTGGAAATAGCAGCCTTTCATAATTAACTGGTAAGGGTCAGTGGTCACTGTTATTGACACCCAAAGACAGGGAATCTCATTTCTACTGGCAAAGTTAATTTAAAGAGAATATATCACATTAATAAAATATTTTTCTTGATCTACTAAAACTTTTATTTAGAACTCTCAAAAATCATATCTGCTCTACAACTGATGTCTCATTCTCAGAGTAGGAGACATTTTGTTTTTAAAAAGTGTTAAGATTAAATGCTATAATGTGAATTTGTTGGCCTAACAAGATTAACGTTGATTCATTTGTGCAGTACTCTTTTCAGAGTGAAAATGTGAAACACCACAGGCATAAAGCATGACTAGGAACTGTCAAACTGAATGCAGTGTCATTTTTGGGGCAGCTGCATATGACAAAAGTGCTTTACAGCCAGTGAACGCATCTGGCACTCTGGGCAAGGTATAATCCTCTACAATTGCTATGAAAAGTACCTAGCTTAAATAACTACTCTCACAACTCAACATATTGCTGCTCCACTTTGCCATTCCCAAGATAACTATCCTTCCTCCACTGATTATTGAAATTAGCAAATAGTCTCAGTATCATCTAATTTTAGGACATTTTTAATAACAGACTGTAAACCAGTGGTAAGTGAGAATAATTTCTATCAACAGCCTTCTGCCTAAGCACACATATTGATACTTTTGCAGTCTAGCCTAGCTAACTGAAGTGGGCATGCTCAGCTGAAGCATTGTCTGATATGTGTCTGTTTCCTTTCACAGCAATAATAGAATGAGATTGAGAATTATATCCTCTTGATACATTCATTCCTTTCCAGGTGTTTTTTCTTTAAAAGACATGCTCGCTCGACATGAAAAGTTGACCATCTATTATCAATAATTGTAATCTATAAAAATATTGTAGATACATATACTTTTTAAATCATTTGGACTATGTATTTTACATCTCTTACAACCCCACAAATAACAAATTACCTCCCTTCCTTCTCCCCATTAATCATTAATTGTTAATGCTTAGTTATAGCTTCTGTAAATAACAAAACGAGTTAAGATTAGACAAGGCGACTCTTAATATCAACCTTAAACAGCTTAAATAACCTTAGTTTCTAATGAAAAAGTTAGAATGACAAATCACTTCTCTTATCTAATATTTCCATTACTAAAAGCAAATTAGCAGTTATTATTTTTGATGGCAAACAGTACCAAACCTTTTGCAGGCTGTCCATTCTGATAATTTTAACCTCTCAATTTGGCAAGTACTGGTTATCAAAGGTTACAATACAACTGGGAAATCAATCTAGGGATTGGATCCGACAAGTCAGTGCTGCAGTGGTTTTCTGGTGGAAATTTTATCAACACCCTGTTGAATTTTCTGGTCTGGTATTTGTACCAGTCTGTCACCAATAATTGTTTTCATAAAGTTCAGAAGTAAGAATGGGTTTTGAGTTATTCCCACTAAATCATGGAACTATAGGCAATTTAAAAATTCCAATCATTTACATAATGGTTTCATGAATATCTGTTATACAATCAGTTCCCACGTCCAGACCATGTAATGTTGGTTTCTGGTCCAATGAAGTAACTCTGTTGATCATCTCTTGAGACAAGGAATATCTGTTCCCTGACTTCTCCTCAAACCAACAATCCAGTGCTCTCTTAGCCTCAAAATTGGCAATGGGTGGTCCATTGACAGCAATTGTTAGAAGGTCATTGAGTTGGTCAAGGCTAAGTCGAGACCTATTATTGTTACGTATCCGGTAGAAGGCACCACGATTTTTCTCACAAGCAGCAGTTGATGTTGGTAGAACAAGCAATAACTGAGTGATCCGATTTAGTATTGGGAATTTTTGTTTATACTTAAAAATGTGACGGCTCAACTCTTTGAAACCATTCTTGTTGTAACACTCAGATTTGAGCTCCTTCCATTCGTGCAATAAGATTCCTTGAATGTCTCTGCCATCTAGACCTATTTCCCTTGCAAATGATGGAATAATTTCAAAGTGCTTATATATATGCATGATCTCTTCCTCACCATGACTCATCAGGTTGTCCTCAGTTTGGGGCCATGTGGCAACATCAAACACATGACATGCTCGAATAACTGAGCGACTATTAGAATCTAGCCTTTGGGCTAGAATCAGCTGGGTTTTTTGGCATATCTTTTCTCTTATTGAATTGAACTTGGCTTCTGCTACTCTCAGATTTTTCAGAGGTACGCCATGAAAACTTTCATGGAAGGTCTCCTCAAATTCTTGTAGATATTCTCCTGGTGATTCCACCAATCTACTGATTTCCTCAATGGCTTCTTCAATCTTGTCATCTGCATGGGTAATGAGAAGGTGATCACCCTGGAATATGAATGCCAGTCGTGTAAGTACAGCAATGACATCTAATAAAAAATAGATCAGCTTAACTGACTGATAGTCCATCAGGAACTGCAGTAGAGCCAAAGCAATGGCAGCTGCATCAGCTTTATGTGCTTGACCACTAACATCTTTAAGATGAGCTACCACCTCCAAATAATCCTTAATTAATGCATTCAGGACATTCTGCTCTCCAATAATCCACCTAACAGCTCGAATGTCACCAAGGAATTCAGTCTCCTCACAAAGTGTTGCTGCAGTAGATCTTAGTTCACACATGAGTTTAGGGGAATAACGATAAAAACTCAGCAACTGCTTTAAGTTGTTCTCTAGTTCTTCCAAACAAGTTAGTTCCTTGTTGCTTATAGCATCCAATACTTCCAAATGAGGCCTATGCACCACACAAGGGACAGAGAGTAGCCAAGGCAAAGTCTTTTTGATCTTCATGGCCAAACCTGCCCTTAGTCCTGTTGTCATCGTGGCTCCATCTACCCCAAGTCCTACAATTAACTTTTCATCTTTCCATTTGATCCCTATACACCCAAAGGCCCTGTCTAATGCCTGTATATAACCATCCACTGTTACAGAACTCAGTTCCTGTAGGGACAATAACTCTGTAGCAGCAGGCCCCTCATTGGTAATATACCGAATGTAGATGGCAACATTATCAGCAACCAAGTCATCTGTCTGCCCATCCAATATCACACTCATAAATGGAGATACCCTGAGCCTCTCAAAGAGATCCTCACGAAGAGACCTTGCAATGTGATGAATTAAAGTTTGACAGTCTCCCTCGTTCAAGTATTGGTCAACAATCTTTAAGTCACATTTTTTCAGAAGCTCAGCCAAAGGCCTGAAATCTGAAAAATTTCTTCCTTCAAAGGCTAGGTGATAGGCAACATTGAACAACAGTGTCATGTTTCGGCACATCTCTTCAGTTTTTTCCGGATGCATCCTAAGCTTATAAAGCTGCAAGCACTTTTTATGAAGATTACTCTGTGCATGCAATTTGATAGTGTGAATCTTGAACTGCTTAGAGCCCAAGATGAAGGCCGACGTCCTGGAGGACTGAACAGTGTACTGTCTGCAAACATGGCACCACATTTCATTTAGTGTTGGTGAATAGCGTAGAAACCAGAACTTCTTCAGCCATTCATGCTTGAAGCGTCTGATTCTCCGGCCAGTACCAGTAGAGGTTTTCGATATTTCATCTGTGGTGGCCAGCATTTCATTGGACATTGACTCATCAGCTGAATCCATCTCCTGCTCACTAGTGTCATCCATAACAACTGGAACAGGAGTCTGTGCTTCTGGAGCTAGGACGGGTAAAGAGACAAAAGAAAACACAGATAAATTCAATAACTAAAAGTATAATGTTTTTTCTTACAATTTCTTAAATTCACAATCATATTGGACCAAATTTTGCTGTAGAAGCAAAAATTTTAGTGGTGTCTACCATTAATTTGACTTAATCTCTCAGTTTAGGGTTTATGAAATTATAAGGCAATAGTGTTACAGCGATAGAAATATAGGAACCTATGTGAACGGGGAAAGTAATATGATGTCTTTAACCAATGAGGTTAAAAGATTATAGAGTCACTCATACAGCATAGAAACAGACCCTTCAGTCCAATTAGTCCATGCCGACCATGTTTCCAAACTAAACTAGTCCCACTTGCTTGTGTTTGGCCCATATCCCCCTAAACCTTTCCTCTTTGCATACTTATCTAAATGTCTTTTAAATGTTGTAACTGTACGTGCGTCCACCACTTCCTCTGGCAGTTCATTCTGCACACAAACCACTCCCTTTATATAAAAGTTGCCCTTCATATCCTTTTTAATGCTTTCTCCTCTCACCTTAAAAATATGTCCCCTAGTTTTGAACTTCTCCACCCTACGGAAAAGACCCTTTGTATTCACCATATCTACGTCTCTCTTGAATTTAAAAACCTCTATAAGGTCACTCCTCAATCTCCTGTGTTCCATTGAGAAAAGGTCCCAGCCTAATTTTATAGCTGAAAGAAGGAAGTGTAAATTAGGGGTGGTGAGTGCAATGTCAAAGCAGGTATAGCAAGGGAAATAAAGTGAAAGAAATAAAACATGTGACTAAGACAGAGACAAATGGAACTTTTTTTTAAACAGCCAATTAAGTACCTTTAAAGTGGTAGTCACTGTTGTAATGTAGGTAAAGGAAAAGTTAAAGTCATATTTTTTAAATCTCTAAAGATTCAAAACCTGAAGAATTGGTCTTCACTCTGTTAATATATAATTTTTAATACCAGAGAGGTTGGTTGACAGTAATTAATTCTCACCAATAAATGTAAAGGTTCTTAAGCTGGAATAACAAGATTTAACTGTCTGTGGTTAGCTTAGTGGGTAATTACTGGGCCAACAGAAAAACTTGATATAACTCAATGTATATCAATGGTGAGACAGATTGCGAGATATAGTTTTCGCAAATATAATTGAGCAGCCACCTTTGGATATTTGAGTTTAACTACTCTTCTGCCCATCAGTTGAATTTGCCATACCACTTGTTCATAAATAATGGAAAACACCATTACCCTTCACATTTATTTCCACAGAAGAATTTGGACCAATATCTCTCAAACAACAAAGGAAACTAATACTTCTTCTATGCTGTATGCATATTCTTTATGTTTATCAACTAACCCCAACTCTTTTTCCACCCACCTTGAAGTGATATATTTCTATGTTCCCTTTTGAAGGCCAGAGATTGCCTGGCAGGCAGTGACAAATTTTACATAATTATATTTATAATTTAAGCAGGTTTCTAAAGATATGATGTAACAAAGTAACCCATTAAATATAACGGTTATTGATTAACCCTAAGAAAACGTGTGGATGCTATTAAAACCAGTTGAGACTGAGACCAGGTATTAAGCCTTTAAAGGTTAGATATCACACTGTTGAAGTAGTACTACTTGGGAAGAGCTCCACAGTGAGACGTGCTGTGATATTAATTTTATTTTTAAACTATAGTAATTCACAGAGTTAACCTCTATACAAATACATTTAAATATATTACATACATTTCATCATATTGCCTAATGATAGATAGTGCATGACAGCTAACTTTTGCTTATAACATATCCTTGATAGACTGCATAGATTAAGAACATATTTAACCAACCAACTGAGATTCACCCACACTGCAATGGAAATATTAGATTACAATTATCCATATTCAATAGACTATTTTACTGTAATTTATTTTGTTATAATTGAATGTCTAACACTAAGAAAGTTTGTCATCATCTCTGTGGACTGGATTCAATTTCTGCAGTCTAATCTGTACAGTGCACTCAACGCACAAGCTAAATTCGATCAAGAAAGAAAATACAAATAAGGTACACAAGCACACATAAATTCACATTAATCTATTATATCTTTCATGGATCATTAAAATTCAAATCTAATTCATTCTGTCTCAATAGAGTCCATGATATATTGCGCATCTTGAAATCTCAAATATATACAACATATACGCATAAATAAAATGCATAGAAGGTTAGGTAATTTAGAAAGAAATAATTCATTTATATCAGAATATAAAGATGTCAAAGAAAATGCCATTGGAGCCATACAACATTGGGCCCGATTCTTAACTCTGTGTAAGTGAAATCGTTTTGTGGCAATTAAAATTAGCCCCATTAGTAGTGCCCCCTTTGAGAACATAATCAAATATACAGTTTGGAAGTACTCCTTTACCTGCAAATAGCTAGTTTTACTCTTCAACTTTACACATGACACTGAAAACCAATAAGTATCATATTTAAACAAAGTGGTATTTATACTGTATTAAACCATAATATTCTATAACATTGGTTATTTCAGCTATAACACACGTTTTGTCAACGCGAATTGACTGCAATGCAATTGATGAATAGTGGACGCTGTTTGCATAATGCAAACTTTCCACTGTTCAGTATAGCGATTTTCCTATAATGCGATTTTCTATAGCATGAGGATGCACAAGAACTCAACTATCGTATTATAGGAGAACTACCTGTAATTGATAAATGTAATAGTTTATCAATTGTAGGTGAAGATTATTTGCTTCATATGTTTGTAGAGGAAGAGAGAAGAATGGTAGGCCGAAAAAAAAAATCAACAACCAAAAGTAAACTCCTGATCATCGTTCACTAAGACACAATTTACTGGTTTGGGGAAAACAGCAACAAATATTTATAAAGAATATTGAGGGAGTCTGAAAGAAGTTCAGGTTAGGAAGCCAACTAAAACAAAGGTATATAAGAAAATCTAAATGGATTTTTGAAATTTATTTTTGTGAAATGTAGTACTGAGTCAGTTGTATAAAGAAATAACTTCAAATGTAGTGAAACACAGGATACATTACAGGCGTTTTCACACACAAAGGACTAAAGTATCATAACATTTTCTCATAAGTCTTTCCTTTACTTTGTAGATCTGAAATAAAAATATCTAGAGAACAGCAATGCAATATTACGATATTTAACAAAATAAGTTCTGCAAGTAGATAATGGATCATATGTTGCTCTGTATGTGAATTGAACTGTATTAGGGTTCACAGCATTATTGAGGGCTTTGTGCAACAAATTTTTGTCAAACAACAATCCATAAATCAATCAGCAACTGGAATGTGCAAGAACAGGACAAGCAACTAGATATCTCCTCATCCCATCAGACAGAAAGAAAATGACTTGGGCTCATATAGCGCCTTTCAGATGACTAGGATGTCCCAAAGTACTTTACAGCCAATTAAGCACCTTTAAGGTAGCAGCCACTGTTGCAATGTCAGAAATGTGGCAGTCAAACAGTAAAATTGTATTGACCGTATAATCCTATTTAGTGGAGTTTAGTACATTTTGGCCAGAATACTATAAATAACTTCTTTCACCTTTTTCAAAACAGGACCCATGGGATCTTTTATGTCCACCTGAGGCCTCAATGTGAGAGATCAATTTAACATCTCATCTGGAAGCTAAGTACAAGCAACAGTTCAATGTTTCCTCATTATTGCACTGAAGTGTCAATCAAGATTTTTGCACTCAAGTCTCTGAAGTGAAAATTGAACACACAACCTTCTTATTCAGGGGAAAGATTGCTACCACCTGAGACTTTAACAGATTGAGGTGTCATTAGTAAACAGTGCAGAATCTCAACCAGGAAATTACAGTGTGGAATTAATGTCTAATCAAGTTTAGAAAGTGAAATAGAGATAGATAAGGAGAAAGAACGAATACTAGATTAAAAGACATGCAGAAATAAAAAAAAGTAGGAAGTGAAAAATCATATTAAAATTTCCAATAATTAGAAGCTGAAGGAATGAGGATCCACATTTGTAAATGAGAATTTTCAGCGTGAGAAGTTGTGTAGCAGTCATTAGCACTTACTCTACCACAAGAAACATATTTAAACTGGAAAGGGCAAAGCCTACTCTGGCAAGTTTAGCCTGTACCACTGAGGTAAGGACAGTAACTTTATGCTGTTCAATATATTTCAGTAGTGAGTCAGATGGTGGTGTACAATTTTCAGAGAAGCATCTTCAATGGCAACTTTAAGATTTCCATATTTAACTGTGCTAATGCAGTTGTTGAAAGTTTTTGCATAAGTTACAGGTAACATACAGTTCTCAACATCACCACTGGAAAGGGTGTTGCAATAAAAACAATCTTTTGAATATAGATTAAACATAAAAATACTTTGCATTTCCTGTGGTGACAAATCAGGATTCATATATGCGTATGCTGCCTCATTCAAGCAGCCAGTAGCATTAAGGTGCTCTCTGATATTAGTGCATTATGATTTGTGCAACAACAGATCAGGATATTCAGAAGGTGTATTAGCCTACTCTGATATAACACATTTCAAAATCATAAAAGACAAAATATTAACATTCCAGTCTCTTCCACAGCAAATTTGCTTTAAAGTTGTCGAATTTTTCCTATTATAGACAAATATTTCCTTTCTCGCTGCTCCAATTGGTCACAAAATACTGCAAATACAAACACAGACAAAGGTCTAGATTTTATGGGACACGTATTCTCTGCCCCTTCCGATGAACAAGTCAGTTGTCAGGCTGTGTACAATGAAGCCAGCTGCCTGGCAGTTATTTTATACTTGGAGGGGCATTAGTTAACTCAAGACAGGAGGTTATCACCCACCTGGGGAGGAAATCCCACCTTAGAGACTTGCTGGCCAAACTGACTGCCAGCAGTTCTGTAGATTTTACGAGTGGCCACTTCTGGGACCACATGCAGTTCCTGATGATGAGGAGATAATTGAAAGGTAGATCCAGGGTATTGGTGGG